GCATACTATCAAGGACTGAATCATTGCCCGACGTATCGTATTTATTGCCTTTACAATGCCTTTCAAAAGAAGAAGAAACTGAAATGCATGTCAGAAAGGACAGTGTCTCTATATCCTCGTTAATTTGAGAATTTTTCACTCTATACTAATGAGTAATACAATCGAAAGTCTATTTTTTCTCATCATTCTATATAAACACATCGTTTTTGCCTTTCAATCCTCATTCTAATTCAAACAATATGTCAAGTAAGTACCAATATATGAGTTTCAGCTTATCGTCTTTCTTCAAGCTATGGATTTATTATTGTTGATTATTTACTGCATCACCGTCAATATCTTCAATGACTATCTTTATGAGAATGAAATATTGTTAACAGGTTAGGTAATAAAATGAATGTAAATTATATGCATTTTTATATTTAAATCAGGTAATAATGATGATTATCAGTCAATTTTAACTGTTATAAATCTTATACAACAATCTGAATAAAGAAAACAAATATTATAAGATAAGTCCATTGATGGTATAACCTTTTTAATGATTATTTTAATATATTTTTTATTATTATACTGATTTTTATGAAAAATACTTTAATTATTACATTATAATTTTCAATGCCGTTATAAAGCTCACTCTATCCGTACTTGTACTTAACCTCCTTACAAAAAGTTTAAAGAAATCTTCTCTTTATATACTCTCACAGAGAAAAGAATGCTCTATTTTGATATTTGATCATACTTCAACTAATGTCATAATAATAAAATTTCCATAAGATGTATTTTTTTCGCATGTGTCACGGTTCCATGAGTGTTAGTGAATATTTTTGAATAACTTTCGGTAGAAATAAGATAGATAACTGCGGTTTTCACCGTTGGAAAGAGCAAATGAAGACGCGTCAAATTGTATATTTCAGAGTTTTCTCATCTGTTTTTTGTAAGGTTTTCAATTGATCTTTTTAAGAACAAACCTGTCTGGTAAGTTGATTACAGTGATTTTTCAATGATGAAGTATAAATTCACATCAGTAAGCGGAGATCTGGAAAGTGCGGAAGGGTTAGAGGAATAATATGTATACTAGTCGAGCTTCTAATACGATTTTTGTAGCAAAATCTTTGAAAACAGCTCACTTTTATGTTTTTCCCTTTTTTCATAAAAAAGACATTTTTCCGACAGTTAGAAAATTGAATAAAAATACGTCACAAGCCAATGTTAGAAAAACCTATAATACACGGTACGATGCATCTTAATCTCCTCTTCTCAACGGTAAATCCGAAGTTCTCTATCTTGTTTCTATCAAAAGCTATTCAAAAATACTCACTGACATTCATGAAGCCGTGACACATGCGAACACAAGATATCTTATTGAAATTTTATTATTATGCCGTTAGTTGAAGTATGATCAAATAGCATACCAAAATAGGGCTTTCTTTTTTGCAACAGACTATATAGAGAGAAAACTTCTTTAAGCTTTTTATAAGAAACTAAAGTACCACTCTCACTACTTGTGGACTGCCCTAAGTATTGAATTTTTTTCTTTCAGATATAAACTTAAAATGATCAATCATTTATTTCATTCATATCTTCTATGAATTATGTATTTTTTTTTGAATATTTATAAATCCATGTTACTTACTGTTTTATTATATACTATAATAAATTATAATCAACTATAAAATATTATATCTACTGTTGAATCTTCACAACAGCAACTCTTGAACACATGTATGACAAATACTGAAGTCAAAAAATATAAAGAAATGAATAATTTATCAAAGGACGGGGGCGCATAAGACCGTAATTTGGCCCATTGGACTTTTCATACTATATCCAGCACAATCATATATAGGATGAAAGAGCTTCAACTGGCGAGTACTTTCCAATACATTTGACGACTTCCTTCCTTATGATTTCGAATGATCTTATGACGAATACATAGTAATTACATGACAACCTTTCAGATTAGTTTTCTCTATATAAATTCAAGAAAGTNGGGATCACCCTTTAGCATACTATTATTTTGTTAAAATGTTATTTACAGTTAACTTAAAAATTCTGAAAAATTCTTGTTAATGGATTCCGGAAAATTAGACAGTGCATGTTCATATTTATATTACTATTATTAAATGAGAATATGTTAATCAATATTATGCAATTCGAAAATTTCGTACAAGTACTTAAAATTCATATAGATACATTTAATTAGGGATCTTGCATTGTCTGCAAATAAAAATTTTTTTATTGAGGCCCAGAATTTATGGGACACCCTTTATACTTCAGCACTGATTTTAAGTCATGTTTCATAAAACTGCCTAGCGTCATCTTACTCTATATGTTTCAGGTTTTCTAGCATTGCGTGAGGCAGCTTTCAGTCTATCAAGTGAGAATCTACGGTCAAAAGTAAGATAGCCAATGATTAGATTCCATCTATTGTACTCTCGCACATATGAAATTTTTCGGTGTCTCGAATGTGATTTCCGGTAAGACGAATCGATTGATTTTATCTAATATAAAGCATCATAGGAAAGAATACTGTATATCATTAGAATCAAGTCGTCGAGTTCTAATAGTTGGTGTATATCTAATGCAAAGCAACATGTTGTACTTGAAGACCTTTTCTCGTAAGAGTAGAAGAGAATTTCAATAAATTGTATAAATAGACGGCCATTATTTCTGTTGAATAATGAAACACTGCGTATAGTTCAAAATGTTATGTCATAAACTACCTATTCAGAGTAAGACTTAATTTGACCCCAAAAAAAACTTAATATGATAGAAATCTGTCTCGTAGTAGAACACGTAATAGAGTTTAATTGGCATGATTTCAATCAGATTGACTCAATAGCCTATAGTCACTCATTAGAAAACTAAATAGAAATTGAAGCTTGTGACTGTCAGATAAAAACTCAGAAGACAAAGTATTTCATCCACAACTTTGCAAGGATTTATCGAGGTACAGATTATGTTCTTGTTCAAGTCAAAATAACCTTAGGTGGAACTTCAATTGACTCACGACTTACCATCATTACAGATCAATTGATAATGCTTGCAAGAGATGAAGTAGTCCTACAAGTTTTTCTTTCAATTCTTGCATATATCTATCTATCTTTGATCTTGACAGATTTTTGTATTCAATTGAACACATGATCATAAACACTCTTTTCATGAAATATTTTACGAATTACACAATGAAGTAATTAATTCTAATATGAATTGCATTTCGACTTGAATAATGTTTTTTTATCGATGTTCACTCATCAATTAAAACATTCTCTGAAATCGAATACAAATGAGCAAGATTTTTTTGCTCTATTGAAGTCATATATTGATTTCGATTTTCTTTATCAGTGAAACTCGAATGCATCCTACAAATAATTTATACAAGTAACGCGACGCAAACGTCGCTAACCCTCGACTGAAAGGATGTGATGTCGTTGAACATATAGTATTCAAACAGAAATTTAAAACAATTTATTTTGTAAAAAATCTCTTTCTCCTCTAAAAAAAGAAAAACTCAAAATTCGAAAAAAACTAACCACAGATTTGAGTTCCTCGACCCCGATTACCTTTTGTCAAGCTTTATAGGTGTGTCAGCTAAAACAGGTCAAAAAAACATTTTTTCGTTCTGTTCGAACGAACACACTCACACACGAACGAACGTAATCAATTCATTTCAGCGTAAGACCCTCCTTTCAGTATAGGGAACTTAAAAATTCTTATAAAGTAATCATAGTTATGAAGTGATCGAACTCTTCTCCTAAGTCTTTTTCTATTTGAAAATACTATCAATAAAATCATTAAATAAAACAAATATTATTCTTGGAACATGTTCAAGATATTGATTATTCATAATATTAAAGGATAGGACAAAAGTCAATTTACTGTGAAACAATGAAATACCTAATTACATCACGGCTCAGTTTTTTTTTTTTACCAAGGATAGAGGCATGTTCATACTAAAACTCCATGTGAGCAAGTTTAGCTTCAACAAGCAAATTGTACTTTTTCACAGATAGGAAAAAAAACAAATATACTTAACAAAGGTTCTCACTAATATTATTCGTATGGATTTTTAATGTGAACATATCTCTATGTTTGGTAAAACAAAATTGAGCTCGTTTGCTCGAGTCGCAGCATAATTAGATATTGTATTGTATCACGGTAAAGAGACTTTTAGCTCACGCTGTACATTCTTTATTTACATTTAAAATGTTCATTAAAATAAAAGTTATTAAATTATTTTCTTGATATGAAATAATATCCATCTAGCTATTATTCAATCTAAATCAAACAGTTTTATTTCATTTGTTTTCTTCAATTTATTTTTTAATCTTGACTTATCTTCTTTTTTTTTTTTTTTTTTTTTTTGTTTTTGATATGTTAGTTAATATATTTTTCAAAACAGAATAAATCTTTGACTATTAATTGAAAGAAAAAAACGAGAGTGTCGATTCAAAAATTCAATCGATGGAAATTTAGCATAAAATTAAATTATCTAAAGTAAATCCATTCTATAGATTAAACACGAATAATTTAAAAATTAATAAATAGGAGAATTTCTACTAATTAAAGATATATTCAAAAAGTAAGATAATTCTATTTCCTTATAATAATATTAATTGAATAAAAGATTTTGTTTTTTTCTTATTTAGATATAAAAAATATTAAATAGAGAAACAAAGCATGCATACACGTTTCGAAGAACTTCCAAATGAATTAGTTCTTAAATATGGTTAGTACTTATTTCGATGGTGTACAAATATATAAAAGTTTTTTTTGAACTTAATTCTCGTTATAATCATTTAATAAAAATCACTAAGTAATATTCATCTTCATCTTGAATGTCAAGATGATGACAAAAGTCTTTATTTATTTTCTACAAAAGTAATTAATATTTATATTGGTTAAAACCTCGAAGTATTAATTTTATTCCATTACTTAGCAATGTTCGATCGGTAACATTCATTGATCCAACAATAATACAAATAATTTATGTACTAGCAATGGGTAAAAATCTTCAACATGTATCAATTCTATGGTCAAATCCTTATTTAATAAATTCAATGAGTGCTCGATCATTTTATGAATTAATATTTAGTGCAAGTTCATCGGAAAGTCTTTGTTCATGTGGATATTATTTACCTAAAAGTCATTCCTCATATATAGAACCAAAACGTTGTCAATTACCATTATTACGTTCCATTCATGTTCAATGATCAATTCCATCAGTTGATTTTCGTCGTATAATACGTTTATGTCCGAATTTAGTTCGACTTGAAATTGAAATTATTGATGATATTGATAATAATGAAGAGAAAATTATTGTATTAAGTCATTGTCAGCATCTACATATTAGACGATTTCATATATATAATTTATTATCACTTGATATATTTGATATATTAATGGGATATTTACCAAATTTAGAAAAGTTATATATATCAATGAAATTTTCATCACATCCAATTGATATATTCGAACAATGTTCAAGTATAATACATAGAATTGATCGTTTAAAAGAACTACATTTTCGTTTGACAACGGATTTTTGGAATATAGGTCAACATCAATTTGAAAAATTAAAACACATAAATCCTTTTTTTGCAAATATTTTTATTGAAAATCAAGACGATGAAATTAATTTTATTAGCTAATATAACTGATGTGTAGAATTCTGTTTTTTTTGTAATTTGTTTCTGCAATACATTAGAATAAATAGTTAGCAATTTCATTGTAGATTTATTTTCATTGTTTTTGACAAAATGCCTTCACGTTTAAAAAAACTTCTATCACCAATACCTATAATACTAAATGATGAAAAAAATATAAGTGAACTAACAAGACAAGTAATTTTATATTTGAATAATATTAATAATAAAGAAAAAAAATCGAATTTAAAGTCAATCAATATTTTCTTCATCAAATCCAAAAGATATTTAATCATCATCTGAACAATTAATTAATATATTAATTCTATCATCATCAACTGATCCACCAAATACATCTTTAAGAAAATGTGTTGTCAAGTTTGTTTTATTTAAACAATACGATTTTAATTGAAAAATTAAATTTTTAGAGGTTTTTCACATTTACCTGAATGTCAATATGAAAATGTTGTTGATCAATGTACAAAATATTTAGAAGAATTTTTTAAAAGACAAGGAAAAGAACATCGAATTGAATATATATCTATGTTAAATTATCTTATGGAAAATTTTCCATTTGGTTAGTTTTTAATAATTTATTTTCAAATATTATCTTAATTCAATTTAACTTTTTAGGTTTAATTTGTGTTTTGAAAATAAAAGATACAAGTTTGTTTAGAATTTCACAAAAGAAATTTTTCTATTTCTATTTAAATTTTAGTTTCGAATCAATTGATAACAATTGCTCAAGAACTTTGGTCTGATATAAAGTAAGATTTTATTCTTACAAATTATTTATTATTTTCATATTTGTTGAACATTGTTTTACTTTCTATTAGTGATAATATCGATTATTCTATGAATTTTAATCAAAGATTAGAAACGTCTTTTTCCTCAATCAAAATTTAATAAAACTTTTCATTTAACAAATTATCTTTTTTTCGACTATTTTTCTTGCTCAATGTATTTTTAATTCTCTATGAATTGATTGATTTCATCTATTTCAAATGTTAATCCGTTAGGAAAGAGAAAAATAAGCAAATAATATGTAAAATAATGTTTGGAATTATTGATCATTTATTTTCTCGTAGATAAACATTATCATAGTCAAATAACAAAATTCAACTGAATTATTTTCTAATTTTAATTAATAATTTGTTGAAGATTATTTAGAATTTCTCTATCTCTTTCATTTATATTTAATTGATCGCCTTAAAAATAAGTATTAACTCAATATTTTAAAAAGGAAAAACAAAATAAAACTGATGAAACATTTATCGAATTGTAAAATATATTGACAGGAGAAATAAATTGATCTTGATTAGAATCGAATAATATAAGTAAACACTTTGAATTGTTAGTCAATGATTTAAAAAGACAACCATATGCTTATATATATATATATACATATATTTATACATTTTTTTTTCTTTCGCTCTGCAACGCGAACTAACAAACGAAGAAACGAACATTTGGTTGTGGGAGCTGCTCAGTGCATTACCCTCCTTTCAGTAGAGGGAATAAATCTATTTCTTTAGTTTCATTCTATCATGCTTTAGTAAGTATTATATGGTTGATCTTCTTGTCTAATGATCAACAGAAATAACATTATTTTGTAAACATCAAAAAAATACCAGCAATTTAAACACAATCAACTGAAAACAAACAAGTGATCATGTGAATGTGATATCGATCGAAATCTTCTGTCGATTAATTATTTTGTCTTGGTGTTTCAGTATATGTTAGATTGAAAAAAAGTATGGATTGCCCTAAATCATTAATAGCTGTAGCACCTTCACAAAAATTTTTACCAGATTGAGCATTATCAAAACTAAAAGAAGTTAATTTATAATCAATCAATAAATTATCTGACAACAAACCTAATAACAAAATCTAGATGTCCATTAATAACAGTAGATGCAGAAAGTTCAATCTTTACGATACTCCCATAAGGTTTTCCAACTTTACTAAGATGTTCGGCAACTTCTACAGAGTTGACACAAAGAATTGAAAACATTTTTTCGACAAAATAGTTTTATTATACGTACGTTGCCAGTTTTCACCATACATGTTCTTGATGTTACCCTTACTCAAGCTATTTGAATATCGTTCATTCTAAAAAGAAAAGAATACAAAACAATGATTACCATATTATAAACATACTTCAATAATACACATGTTTTAGATGAAGGAATTTTTCGAAAATGATGTTGTAATGTGCAAGGAATCATGATCCATATAGACTGAAATGAACAATGTTCATAGAATTTGTCCAATTGGTATTCATCAAAACAATAGGAAGTTGTTTGTTTCTAAACAAATGAAGAGTGTCGTCACTTTCTATCAACCGAAAAGAATATGATCAGGCGCCATTACATTTGATCTTGTGGCGCTGTATATCAAGGATGTGAAGCATATGAACAAATAGGACTGAAAAACGAACAAGTTGAAAACCTTATATTCGAATGATCTTAGTTAAAAAAAAAAAGGTGGTGAACTATATTACATACTGGTGGCTGTCCACGTGAGTCCCCATTTTTTGAATAAAAGTATGATTGAATCATGATTAAGACACAATGCTAATCTATTACTTTCAGTACTGTGATTGACGAATATTCAAAGTGTTTTATTTGTTCAATAATCAAAAGCAAATCGAACAAAGAAGGAAAACGACGACAACACTACTATCTGTTTAGATTAAATAATGCATCGATATCCTTAAATTTATAGCTACAGAATACGCACGGGTTCTTCGAAATTCATCTTTTCTTATTGCTTTGTTTTCGTCAGAAAAAAATCGACTTGGAAGCAGAGACAAATAGATATAGAGTGCCTGGATATTTAACTATTGAATGTTTTCTTCTTAATAATAGATCATGTGAAACTAGACTAAGAGAATACAATAGCCGCCGGTATAATGAATTTATATAATCGAAATAGAATGATTCAATAGACAACACTTCGGTCACTAAACACTGCTAAAAGAAACGTGTACAAACACGTGTTAATGTAATTTCTATCCGATAAAAATGTGAAACACAATGTATTTGTTGTTATCTTCACCCTTTATTTGCTTAATGGCGAGAAATGTGATCAAGAAGTTATTAATAAATTGTAACAGTCCGTCACTACTGTGAAATCTGTAATCATGTATTAACAACTTCTGTCATGATCTATGAGATAGACTCTCAGGCTACATATCACATTGCGTGATGAGTTCGATCTTCTCTGACGTTTCAAAGCAAAATAAATATGATGTTCGCGACCAACAGTATTGATAATCGATAGATAACAAAGGTGTTGATGAAAAGCAGAATTTTTTTAAAGACAAAAATTTTTTCGCAAAATTTTCTTTGCACTTGATAAAAAAATAACATAGTGTACTATGATCAAAATTGAATGTTGGTTGTAACTATATGATGCTTTTTCAAAGATATTGAGGAATGAAAATAGTCTTATCACCATTTCTTTATACTTTTGGCATTTTCGTTGATAATTGTTTTGTTCTGTTTCATACTGAACATTAATCGTTCGATAATGTTGTATACATGCACGAATATAATCTGGACTTTCAATTATAATTTCTTTCATTGTTACATTTATTCAAATGGGAATCGATAATAAACATGGGATAAATAGAAGATTCATAATTATTTTATTTTTTACTTCATTTGTACCAATACACAAACAAATGCTAAGCATACATATCTTATTATGATACTATAGCATGCAACAATAACCTTTTTTCACTGAACTATTTTCTTTGAATATCGAAATAATTTTAATTCATATCTATAGTTGTAAACAAAATACAGGCTACAGATATTAAAATCTTTTTTTTTAATTATTTCCTAAATTTTGTAAAACTTTCAAATTGTTATCTATATTATTTACGGCATTACTATGTTTATCAAATAGAGATCGATTAAGACGATGACGTGAAAATTTGAATGACATGTTCTGTAAATCATATTCTAGCTCGAATGATATATTACGTTGTAGATTTTCATAAAGTATATGTAAAAATAGCAAAAGAAAATTCATAAATGGATTAGATGGACACAAACCGTTTTTTCATGGACATCATGACTTTGACTGTATGAAACTATTATTTTTTCAATCCATGAAATACATAGGAGTATCCAAAAGTAGTGGCAACGACATTTTAGTACTGCTTGCTTAATAAGCTTGATAAAAGTTTCTTTTTTACATAGGATGATATAGAAAAAAATGCTCTTTCTTTCTATGCTATTTGATCAGACTTCAATTGATATCTTAATAATAAAGTCCTAATAAGATTAGTTTGCCTATCATGTGTAACGTTTATACTGGGTGACCCGTAAGTTATTCTTCACTTTTTAATTGCGAATAGCTTTTGATAGAAGCAAAATAGAGAACTGCGATTTCCACTATTCGAAAGAGGATGTGTCACTGCATAGTTCCACATATTACTCAATGGGATCGAATGATAATCAAATGGTGGATCACTAATTTTCTGAAAAGTAGTGATATCATATGAAGATAGCATGGAGGCTCAATTCTATGAAGTGGATGAGACCTGTGTACCGACAATTCATGCTCACAGCTTCATTCTCTAGTGTTCCACCTATATCTTTGGAGTGGAAGAAGATAAAATTTTGGAGAATGAAGCTGTGAGCATGAATTGTAAGTACACAGGTCTCATCCACTTCATAGAATTGAGCCTCCATGCTATCTTCATATGATATCACTACTTTTCCGAAAATTAGTGATTCACAAGAGCATTTTTTTCTCTATCATCCTATGTAAAAAGAAACTTTTATCAAGCCTACTGCGTGGTACTAAAATGTCTTTGCCAGTACTTTTGGATACCCCTATGTACATAACCTATTATTTTCTTCCATAAATGTTTTAATAGAATTTAATTGATCTAGTTGAAATCTATCGATTAATATAATAGTAATTAAGATTCTATGTAGAAAAAAAGTTGATATATGTTAATATATTGTTTGAGAGAAGAATAAATCGAGTTGAACTTGGTAATCGAACTGATTAAACATAAACGAATAAAATTCAATATCAACTTTAAAAATAAAATATTCTCATCATTTGACTGAAATATACTTTGGATTGATCATGTTCTAGAGCATATTGAGATACATTGAATGATATATTGTAAATCCTGTTCTCCTAAAACTTTGAAGGAACTCGAGTCAATTAACTGACAGACGACTACACGCCTACATCCACGTCGACCGATAGGCATACTGACAATATGATCGAACGATACTACATATATAAGGTTTTTGCTCGTTAAAAATTTTGCAAAATCATATGTGAGAAAAAATATTCTATAGGTACTTTCGACTAATATTCAAAAACCATAATATTCAGTAACATAGCATATGTGCATGTCGGTAAAATTATGAGCGTGCAATCGTCTTTGAGTTTCTTCAAAGCTCTATGAAAACAAGATCTACTATATATTTTGGTCAACTCTAAATGGATATCTATTCTAAATAAATAAAATTATTTTATTTTATTCTAATGAAAATATTCAAACATATAATAAAAAAAAAAACAGAATTATCCTGAGAATTAAATAATATTAGTGTTGATGATTTAAAAGCTCAAATGAAATAAGTATTGTCTTTATTAGTCTCGTGTGGGTATAAAAGTTAATCAGATAATTCAAATACATTAAATTTTCTTTTTTTTTTCTTTTATCTTACTAAAATTTGCTTTTGACATAATGCATGCGCTTACTCATTAACTTCAATTAAATGTTACTTTATTCAATTTAAGAATAGATTTTTTTTCTTTTCTTTTTTTAAACTATTTATTTAACCCAAATATTTATTTATTTCTATTTCATAGAAGTTATCAAAGATTTTATCAACAACCAATAACTCGTTTTTTCTTCAAACTTCAAAAAGATCATAGAACAAAAGAATTTACAAAAAAATGTATATGAAATCGCCGAAAATTTAAACGTAAAGTAATCGACTTTTGTTCATTCTAGTTATTTATCGTATGGTAAAAAACAATCCAAGAAATAAATTATCAACGATTTATTTATAGAATGATACACACAAAATGTTTTTTCAATAGAAACTTTCTATTTATTCTGTTAGGAACGATTATTTACAGTATAGAAATAGATTAATAAGAATATATTTTACAATTAACAATAGACAAAACTTTGGAGAAGTTACTGAAAAAGAATGAAATAAATCTAACTTACTTATCAATCAAGGAATATCTTAACGTTAAAAACATATGATGTCTTCTAAGAATATCCCAGGAAACTTGACTATGTCCTAGGGTAGAAGATATAGAGATATATAGGTATAGGAGATAATAGTTAACTAGTGCAGATAATCTTTATACAGTGCTTTACTTTGAACAATGATCCATTCAGATATATACATTTAACTTGTCAAATCTTGTTCGAAAAACTCAATCATAAAAAATAAATAACTGTTTACTATATCTCCTATACCTCAATACTTTCTACACCTCCTACGTCTCCCACAGCTATACAAAGGATGTCCCATAAGTTCTGGGCCTCTATGAAAATTCGTTTATATGCAGACAGTGTATGATCCATAACTAAATGTATCGATATGAATTTTAAGTACTTGTACGAAGGTTTCGAATGGCATAATATTGATTAACATATTCTCATTTAATAATAGTAATATAAATATGAACATGCAATGTCTAATTTTCCGGAACCCATTAACAAGAATTTTTCAGAATTTTTAAGTTAATCGTAAATAACATTTTAACAAAATAATAGTATGCTAAAGATCACTATATGTTATCTTGACCAGTTTTTTGTTTGTGTCATTAGTCACATTGATCAAACAAATTTTACATTGAGTCAAAGGCTTTAAAAAATAAGAGCATGAAAACTTCTACACGATAGAAATCTTTTGTTCAATACTCAACGTAATTCTTCGTAATCTGCCCGAAGCAGAGATGTCCATCGCGGCGCGACCGCTGCCCCTACCGCCACCACGCCGCTGCCGCTGT